TGAAGAGAGTCATGAATGTGAACGAATTAGGTGTGTTAATATGACGATTAAGTGAGTGTTTCATCGAGTTTTTAGGTTTGTGGTTATAAAGTGTGAGGAATCACCTGGTGAACTGGGTATTTCACCTTCCATTCCTAGGTACAGAACTCTTGAAAAAATTTCACCCCTTACCCTCAATGTTGCTCAGGTATTAAGCAACCCTAATTAATAGTTGCTTGTATTAACTATTATTACCAACCCGCAAAATTACTTGGCTTCGCTTTTGTTAGGTATATATTGTATAGCCTTGACTACCCCAGTTTTCCCCTTCCTGACAAGGGTGACCAACCACCTCAACCTAACCTAACAAAATAAACTAATCTTGACTGTTACGGTCCTCCCCCCGACATGGGTAACCACCTCACGCAATCACCATGGCGATATCTCAGTCGGGGAAGATTCCAAGATGCACAACCTTGGGATCCATTTAATATGTGTGTAAAGTTTCAGGACTAACTGCTTCCATTTTGGAGCTATCGCTGAAACAGACAGACACTCACAGACAAAACATAAGAATGGAGGAAACTGCAGCGGGCCTATTGGCCCATACTGGGCAGTCCCATTTACACCCAACCCCTATTGCACATATATCCATCCAACCTATGTTTGAAGCTATCCAGCGTATTCAAGTTAATGATGATATTTGGTAACTTGTTCCACTCGTCCACTACTCTATTTCCAAACCAATGTTTACCTATTTCTCGCCTAAATCTTAATTTGTCTAATTTAAAACCATTGTTACGAGTTCGGTCCTGGTTGGATAGTTTGAGTACCTTTGTAATGTCCCCCTTTGTTCAGCCCTGACTTCCATTTACACCTCTATCATATCTCCCCTTTATCAGACACCCGAGGGTTCGTGGTCTATATAGTAATACCAAGGTACACAACCCTGCGACCCATGTAAAATGTGTGTACTGTACATTTTAGGTCTTCAATTGCTTCCGTTTTAGAGCTATTGCTGGAACAGACAGACACGTCATTTTACTATCATACCGTATCAAAATTCTTAAAGGTGTTATTTGATCTGACCATTTGCAAATATTACTTTTTTTTAGAATTCTGTATTTACTGTTACAGTATGACACTTGAATGGGGCGCTTCGTATGATTTTTGTTTTTCCCTTGTAATGGTAAAGTTGCCCAGGTGTTAACAGAGGTGTCCAGTTGCCATGGTCACCCACAGGCTTATAAAGGGAGCATGTGAGTGGGGGAATCGCGTGGGGGAAAGAAGTCAAACCCGTCCCGTGAGTGAGTGACCACCTTGTGGGTTCTCAGGTGTCTGGCAGTCATACCTTGGTGTGCTGGCTCCGGCCACACAAAGCTGCTCGCCCCAACCCGCCACCACCTTATTTATCTTGCTGTATAATGATGGCAAGGTTATAGCACTGTCTTGGCCTTTGTTGCAAAAGGATTGTGAAATAATGTAAATGTGGAAATGTTGTAAAGGTGTAATACTGTACTCACTGTTTACATGTTGAGAGAGAAATATAGAATGATATCGTGTATAAATAGGCACATTTGCAGGAAGGGATTGAATATCTTGCAAGTGGTAAGCGCTTGTCCAAGAACCAGACGATGGCCTAAAGCCCTAAAGTACAGGTGAGCGAGGCAGCGGGGTGGAGGGGAGGGAGGGGGGCCGGCTGTACCAGTGTGAGAGTGAGAGTTGCACCGCTCCGAAGTGGGTCATCCCCCCACCCTCCCCATTTCTTCCATCCAACCCTCCCTCTGAATGCAACATCTCAACTATATGTTACTTGAGATGATTAATTTATATTTTAGGGTTTGACAACTCTCTTAATTCAATTTCTGAAAACATGATACTAAGTTTAATTGTTAAATATAGAAGCAAGGGAAAATTACCTTAGGTTTATTCTATGTACATTAACGTGGTGCAGTCTAATAATGACGGGGTTGAGGAAAAAATACGTTAAGGTATAGATGTGGGAATGTTAGCAAGACACGACTATAGCAGGGGGTGGTGGGGCGGGTTCCTAGCTGTGCTCTCCCATTAAGGTACTGGTCAAAAGGTCTTGCTACACATTCACACCTACAGTACGTGGGTGAGGGAGGCGACCCCGGCATTGAGGTCTGGTGGTTTTATGTGCCCCGGGTTTTTGGTTGTGTTATTGATTTCTGAAAGTACAAACTGCGTGTTGTTGTAACTGTCTGGGAGTCTTGCAAAATTTGTTTGGTCATGTGATATTGTTGTGTTTTTATAAGTATTATTGTTATTTTTTACTTTATTGTATTTAATGGGTGCCATATGGCGTATGAAAGATGGTGCTTGGGTTTAATTACTATCTACATCCCACGTGGTAACCCATGACCAGATAAGCGATTTACAATGCACAACAGCGGCCAGCCTAATCCTTGGTTCATACCAGGCCCTCCCCACACCGTGCACCACCTAGGCCCTCCCCACACCGTGCACCACCTAGGCTCTCCCACACACCGTGCACCATAGCTCTCCCCCATACCGTGCACCACCTAGGCCCTCCACACCGTGCACCACCTAGGCTCTCCCACACACCGTGCACCACCTAGGCTCTCCCACACAACGTGCACCACCTAGGCCCTCCCCCACACCGAGCACCACCTAGGCCCTCCCCACCCGTGCACCACCAGTGCACCATAGCTCTCCCCATACCGTGCACCACCTAGGCCCTCCCCCACACCGTGCACCACCTGGGCCCTCCCCACACCGTGCACCACCTAGGCTCTCCCACACACCGTGCACCATAGCTCTCCCCATACCGTGCACCACCTAGGCCCTCCACACTGCACCACCTAGGCTCTCCCACACACGTGCACCACCCAGGCTCTCCCCACACCGTGCACCACCTAGGCCCTCCCCCCCACCGAGCACCACCTCTCCCACACACCGTGCACCACCTAGGCTCTCCCACACACCGTGCACCACCTAGGCTCTCCCACACACCACCTGTCCCCACACCGTGCACCACCTAGGGCTCTCCCACACAACGTGCACCACCTAGGCCCTCCCCACCGTGCACCACCTAGGCCCTCCCCACACCGTGCACCACCTAGGCCCTCCCCACACCGTGCACCACCTAGGCTCTCCCACACACCGTGCACCATAGCTCTCCCCCATACCGTGCACCACCTAGGCCCTCCACACCGTGCACCACCTAGGCTCTCCCACACACCGTGCACCACCTAGGCTCTCCCACACAACGTGCACCACCTAGGCCCTCCCCCACACCGAGCACCATAATATAATATGGCTGAAGCTGCCTGCCAGGATCTATTCGGTCATCTGGATGGCGACGCTCTTGGCCATACCTTCACTCCCTAATGCATATACCAGCCCCCATTAATGCTAGATCCAATGGATTGTAAATATTAATGACTTGCGTGTCTTTGTGAATGTACACGCACTCCTTTACTCTTGGGTACGAATTCACATGCGTCCACTCTCAGAGAATGTGTGTGTTACAGTGATTTACGGATCCAACAGAGACAGCGTGGTTCCATTGTTGGCAGCGTGGCTTTAGGAGTCAATCGCCATGAGATAGCATCTGGGCGCTGTCTGGCTGGGGTAGCCAGGGAGGGGCGGTGTGGCCAGACTGGGTGAATGTGTCTGAGTGGCATAGGTTGCTTTTGTTTAGTGCAGGCGATCTTGCAAGAATTTCTCTAGAGTCTTGCTTCTCTTACACTAACTAGAATATGCTCTACAGCTTTAGCTGAACGAAGATGTGGGTCGGGTGAAAGTGGTCAACTTTTTTCTATAGCATTCCCTTGTGAATGATTTACCGTTGTATGGATATTCAGTTCTAGGTCAACAAGCGGTTGACCTGTGTGAATACATGGTCGATAGAGGGTGGCTAATGTCATGACGAAATTGGTAATGGCGGGAAAGTGTACATGGCTCGTGATTGGTTGACAAGCTGGTAACTGAGCTGTCATAGGCTAGAAACGGCAGGTGCACTGTATAGTTGCCATGGTAATGGCAGTGCACTGTAGCGTGTAGTGACGGTGCATTGTGGCGGATTATACGAGATTGCTCACTACAGAGTGAAGGGCAGCATGAGGGTCCGTGGCGCGCTTCATCCCGTCGAGGCCAATGGGCTGGAGTTTGTATGGAGATGGTTCTGGGGGCTGTACTTCCGCACCCCGGTCAGGCTGTCCCCAATCCTTGTGTATTCAACCATGATATTTCAGTTTACTGTGAGCAGACTGTATCTCCTGTGGCCTAATTGACTACGTATGCTTTTAAAGATGCTTAATACCTTTAGTCTTCAGGAATTCCAATGGCCAATCCAGAGCAACAGTAAATAAGAATGCCTGATTTTGATTGTTCATTCTGTTTCCGTAGTATGTAAAATAAACGTCATTGAATTTGCATTTAAATTTTTTTTCCATGTCAGTATTATTTTTCATGATGGAGGCGCGTTTCTCTTGCTGGCTACGGTAAGGTCTCGTTATTCATTATTTTATATTAAGAGTTTTTTGTGGTATTCTGATAACTTTTGTTTCTGCTCAATTTACTTGATTTACTTTATGGAGTTCCTGCATAAAAATGCCGTTGTCTTCAGTGTATAATATAATGTTATGGGGAGCACTAATGTTTTAAAGTGTGGTGGGCAGTATGAGGTTTAATATTTCCCTGTTGAAGTTCGGGTTGGTAATTGTCCATGCTCAGAAAACTTTATTGATAAGTTTCATTTGGAAGTAGGTTATTGTTTGTTTCAATTTATGAGTTAACAAAATTCTGGTTTACATATTTCGCTTACAATATATTCGTTGATAAGTTGGTCATGGCGAGTCAGTGGGGAAGCGTTCTCTATTGTGACTATCAGCAATCAATCCGTTTGTAGCCTACCTGTGTGTTGTCTGTTACCTGTATTCTGTAAGTGGCCTGAGTAGTTCGTTCCAAGCAGTGTTTTGAATCTTTATTGTATGTTTTATACTTACGATTAATGTGAATTTCTGTCATTGCAGGTTTTTTATCGTGCTCCCCGAACCCGTGCAAAAACAGTGGTACTTGCGTCTCCAACTCCGGAGCCGAGTCCTCGTGCGAGTAAGTACAGTGTCCAGCTACCTTCTCTTTCACCCATTCTGGTTCTGTGTCTTCTTATTTTTTATTTCAGTCTTTATTGTTTGTTAGTGACTTAGCACCTGCTGCTGTAAGTGATGTGCTGTCCCTCATGCTTGGTCCTGTGTAATAATAATAATAATAATAATTATTAACGGTTTATTGAAAAAGTTCAGCAGCCCAAAGGCTGAAAATATACATTGGACAAAAATGACTTATTACATACAAAGACATGAGATGGGTGGGTCGTTTAACAAAAGCTTGCATTACTGAAAGGAGAAGTAACATGAATTGAACATACAAATTATTATAGTTTACAGTTGATGGCCCCGGCCTGGGCTGGTCATTGAAACACCAGGTGGTGCGGTGTCCACGTGGTGCAGTAACTCGTCCTCGGGTGTTGATATGGAGGACCTCACGTGGTCATGGATACATCGGGTGTGGGGGTGTTCACGTGGTGCAGAAACTCGTCCTTGAGTGTTGATATGAAGGACCTCACGTGGTCACGACACCGTGTAGTGTGGGGTGGTGTCACAGTACCTCTCTGCTCGGTGGTGTTATCTGTAGTCAGGTGCATAGCCGGCCCCCTGTTGTTTCAGGGTGGACGATTTAACACCTGGTCAGAGGATGGTTCCCAGGGGTGCTTATTTCAGTGGTGGGTCACGGTTCTCACTGGTACTGTCTAGTGCTGAATTCACTGGCTTAAATACTGTTCATTACTGTTCAACACTGATCCCACTTCTTTCCGAAACGAAATTGTCACTTGATTATGTAGATATCCCGGTGGTGAGGATGGGTCGGGGAGAGGGACTTGAGGAATGGACCGACATGGCCAAGGGGGGCTCCTGCTCAGCAGGAGCAGCGCCTGAATAGGTCTTGACCCTACGGTGGTCAAGGATGTAGTGTGTGTGTTCCCTGTCATCTTGCACAAAAGACATCCATTACATAGATATGTTGGAGGCCATACGAAAGACTATGTAGTATCAATAAAATTATATAATACACGAGGGGCAATGAGCTGGTGAGGTGTTTCCCACAGTTGTGTGAAGACTACTACGGAGTGTGTCCCTTCGGGGCCATCTTGACTAGTGTTCCCAGGGTGGGTGGGTGTGTGTGTGATGGAACAGGAGTGTTAGGGCCACTTGCCGACGCGGCACATGGCTCTTTAATGTTGTCCACCACACTACCTCGCCCTCGTCCCACCATGACTGCTTCGCACATACAGTAGCCTTACTCTTCTTGGCATTGATATATAATTAATGTATACAGTATGCACATACCTATGAACGTGTAGATAATTGTTGCCAGAACATTTGGTTTAACAGTTAGCTTAAGGGTAATTAGACAACAGTATGTAATCGTAATCCCTCCCCATTGTTTGGAAATATATGGTCGAGGGGCGAGGGTGAGGTCTGGCGTTCCCAGGACGAGCATGGCCAACTGTCCTATATTCCCACAGCCCGCCGCTGCTGGCACCCGCTCACCCCACAACACGGGATATGCCTAATTGAATTAAGGGTTCCCTAGGTCCCAGAGGTGTGCCACTTGTGGGTAACTGGTAAGAGGGTACTCCCCTACCCACTCCAGTATTGTCTTGCTCAGATTTATGGTAAGCTTGGTGGGAAGGTTACACACTGATGCATCTACATCTGTTGAGTGATAAAGGTTGACGGAATTATGTGGGAAATAAATTGTACGGTATTCTTGATATGCAGACTGTTTGCCTTATATGTTATGCTATGTAATTGGTATTGAGAGTAATGTAGTAGTGGATTGGTAAAGTGAATAGGTGGGGACACTGGTGGTTATATCCCGTTGTTGCTCACATGGTGAACCATCTGAGTGTGGGAGGCCGTAAACTAGTTAGTATCCACCCTATGTCTATGTATTGACTGCCGTCGGTTAGTAGAGCGTTTGGGTTAAGGACCTAAGCTCTGCAGAGTACAGTGTGAGTGCGAGAGGTGGCGGCATTAAGCAACGCCACACACAGCTCAATCTCAGGTTACAGGTCCTGAATAGAGGGATAATTGCAGCGTCCGGGGTGGCGATGGTAACTGCTCCACGCACACACTGAGGATGCTACTCCCTGGCTCTAAGTTTACGCTTACCATCACGTATAGAACTTCTCGCTACCAATTGAATAACAGTGACTTACAAAATTTCGATGTGAATGGATTATAGCATTAGCTATAAGAGAGATTATATTCATAGCTTGTACTGTACACGGCAGAGAAGATGAATGAGTGAGCAGCACAAAAGAGCAGTGTGACCGGGCAGCAGACTCCTGGATGCAGTCCAGAGGAACCCAACAGGTGGCGTGAGACCATACAAGGCGCTAGCCAAAATCCGATTAATTGAAGTTGATTGGGTGATCATTGTTATTGTATTTTTTGTGGTGTGTGTGTGTTTGGTGTGGTCCCCCCAGGGTCCAGATGGTGCTGGGCAGAGGCTGGGTCTGAGAGCGGGCGAGGGGACATGACCCCATGATTTACCGCTACTGGATAATACGTGTTTATCTTTCTCTCTCTTGATTTACCCTGGCTGCTTCCTCTTTCTTTTGTATTTACTGCATGCGTCATGTGTTGATTTTTGCCTGGATAGAGTGAGTGAAGATTAATATGAGTAAATGAGGATTGAGAGAGGATGAGTGTGGATTGATGGAAGAATGAGGATTGTGTAGTATGGAATGGCTAATTGTCAGCAAGTTATTTGGAATCACTTGGGTTACACATTCCAGGTAATTACAGTCCCTCATAAAAGACAGGGGGGTTGCTGCCCCATGGCTGGGAAAATTCAATACAGTAGTTGGAAGGTGACGCGGTGTGGGCGACGGTGATAAATACCGAAGTTATTGTTTATCATCTCCCTGTGTTTATTCAAGACCCAGCGGCTTCGCTTTGGAAAAACCCACCAAATGGCCCAGTCATTGGTGGGGCGGACATACTGTTATATGGGGCTGTCTTTTTCATTAATTAAATTTTTCTCGTGTATTGATAATTTAATGCAGCTTTGTATGGAGAAGTATGTGTGGTTATTGGTGGAAATACATAGTGTGCTCTGGGGAGGCAGGAGGTGCAGATGGCCTCTGCTGTTGCAGCCTGACCCGCGGGAGGGGAAGATCCTCTTAATTCAATTAATGAACCCACCCTTATATGGCACTTATTAATTGTGGTTTATTGTGAAGCTTTCATTGCCCAAATGAGTTACGTTTATTGGCCTCATGGGCAAAACACTGTCAGGCGGGGTCTTTGTGATTTGAGAATTCTGGCCTTGCCGCTCTCTTGGTGTTCTAAACTTGTTGTAAAGCTAAAGGTATGAAATAGATGTTTTCACTTACTCAAACATACAAGTGACCTATAGAGTAATATGTATAACCACTAGGGAAGCTCAAGATGTATAATTACTCAGAATTTTTATAATCATGTTGACAAACTCACGTCGATTGTTTAACTACAGGCAAGTGTAGTGCTGTAGACTGGCGCCACTCAACCACCAGGCTGTGTTGCACACTACACTTACCACTGTCTGAAAGTTACTTACCCGGGTGTGATTTTATATTGTCATCGTGTACGAGGAGACTATAACCATGCGTTTACCTTGTGGGACCCAATTTTTTAGTTATGCCGCCCGGTAAGGAAATTAACCTGCCACGTCAACTCGATACAGTTTATTTCTAGTTGACGTGGCAGGTTAATCTCCTTACCGGGCGGCATAAGTCAAACGTGTTGCAGGTCTGGCTTCGACCAGAAAGTCTCTGGTGTGTTTAGGGCGATCAGTTGCGAGGTACTGCCGTATGTTATCGTCCAGGGGCCTGGCCTGCCTGGGTGAACGTCAAGCCAATTCAGCATATACACGCCTTGTTCCTCATTATGACACGACTCACCATCGTCTCCTCGCGTAGCACACAACATTTTTCTCATTGTTCTTATCATTCTCCATAATTACTTTCACCACTTTTATCACTCCTATGATTACCGCTGTCCAGCTGTAAAATTTAGAATTAACCCATATTACCCTCCGGTCTGTGTAGAAACATCAAGAGGTTTTCATACTACTAATCTGTTATCTACATGATTGTCTTGGCCCCTGATAAAACACGTACAGGTAAACGTTTTATAGAGACTGTTATTACCAATTGGACGTAGTTATCAAGCAATCAAGCATGACAACTATATACCCCCAGTATTTAGCAATACCCGCCATATCTAGTCATACACTGGCTAGGTTTAGCACCTACAGTTTGGCAATAACTCCAAATATATAACGGTGACTAATTGCTGAGACCGTGTTACAAGTTTACTGCTGGTACAGTATAACTAGACACTGAAACATTTTGTTTGTTATCGGATAATAGCCAAATGGTTTATTGTGGTTAATGTTAATAGTTTGGAGGAGGCGGCCCGGGAAAAGTAATCTGAGGTAAAGGTGATTTTTTTTTCCTTACAAACGTTCACGTGTCTTTTGGAGCCGAGGCCGATCTACAGCTTTAACGTGTACAGTACGTGTGTTAGTGGACCTCGCTTGCTTGGCCTGCCATTTACGTTTGATTCATTGGCAGTGGAGTGGATAAGTGCTTCGCCTTGATGTATAAACGATTCTTAAATGTTGGCAGGAACTGACCCAAGGGTTTCATGCATATGATTACTGATTTTATTGGTGTACACGTGAGTCCAGTCACGAACGTGGCGTTGCTCGGGGATTTATAACAATACAGCGTTATCCTACAGTTTTTTACTCTGACGACACAACCAGCTTCTTGGTGAGGTTTTTTGCAGTCCATTAATTTCCTGTATTGGCTCACTTTAACTCCAGTTCACTCCGCTGTCACCTGGCCTGAGTGGAAGATGTCCAGCAACTTAGTACCCACCTGCGCTGTTTACTCCCCCGCGGTAACCCACTCCTACTCTCATTTACTCACAATGAACAGGAAAAGGCCTCATAGACCACAATAGGATATGGCTGAAGCTTTGTCGTGCGCGGGGCGC